GATAGGGACATCCGTGCATTTGACTCAGCTGACAGGACCACGCGGCTCCTGTGATAGCGCGCGAAGGTCGCGTCGTTACGCCGGTTGTTAAACAAGCGTCGTTATGGGGAATGCCAGGTTTGCGTCCAAAGATGTTTGGAAGTAAGGAGGAAGGACAATCAATACTGTATATAGTCCAATGTGAGGTAAAAAGTGTGTCGCCAATGTAAACGCGGTTAAACAACTCAAAGTGGCGATGAGGTCTTAAAATGTATGGATGGTCTTAAAAGGTATTACATTTGACTTCAGGATTCCTGCATATACCCTGTTATAGAAACTTTTAATAGGGTGCAAACCTAACAGCAGCTACTGTAGCACATGCTTTTGCATAAAACACTATATACTTAACACGAAAGTGACAAATACAATTATTTTAATCTAAATGATTGTCTCTATTTAAATAATATATATTTTCTATTTTATGAACGGTAAGTACAATGAGCAGTGATAGGAGACTAATGGCGTGCAACAACATTCACCGAGCTTATTTTACATCTGTGACATTACAACAGGATGTCCTGCTGAAATCCTTCTATCAGTCAGTGACACACTGTAGTCTGTTGTCCGATTACACTGAATTCTCACTTCTATTATGTGAATGCATGTAAAAGGCTCTCTTGCAGCTAATAACTACCACCAAGAGGAATGAGCAAAACAGGACAGAGCCTCCCTCTGCTTGGTCATTGGCTACCAAATGGGCTCAACTGTGACCTTATATGGCAGTGAGGCAAACAAGCCTAGATAGGAATCTATGTTGACATTTCACTCTACGAACCGCAATGAATTCATTTTTTTCACATCACCAGAGAGTATCTTTGGAAACTACATTTCTATTTGCAAAATGTGCTTCTCTCTCAGTTATTTTCGAAGCTTCATTTTCTGGCCATGGTAGTATATTAAATTGTAGCATTTAAGATTTGAAACAATGCGGTTAACATCAACAATAATTCTTAGTGACATAATAGGAGATAATACAAATAACGTTCCAGTATGTCTACTTTTGTTGACAATACTGATGTTGAAAAAGAAACAAAAAAGAAGATAAAATCTAAATTCTGAAGATTCATAATCTGGCATTTTGCTAAATAATTAGGATTAACATTAGTCAAAGTCAATTTTAATGTCAATTTTTCTGTGTGATTGTACAGACAGGGAGATCAAAATAACGTTTCCAACAATACAGAATACAATAATACAAATATGTATAAATATGTATATCCTCTATATATACAATCAACAGACTGTATACACATATGCACACATTAAGATAAAACACAACAATCAATATATACAAAATAACAAAATAACAGTCACTTCAATATGTTACGGAATGTACATAGTGCAAGATTGTCCATAGCAGCGTAAAAAAGTGTCTGGTGCTGGAATTGAGTACTACAGCCCTGGTATTTTTTTCAAAGATAACTTGAATTAAGTGTAAAGTCATATGTTTGTTTTGAGTTCAGTGGCATTATATGTGCCCCCCCCCTTGTTCCGGTGAGATTACATGACAGCGAGGTCCAGTGCTCCTATAGCGACAGTGCTTCCTGCCTCCTGTACACAGAGCCAGCACACCACTGGGATGTGGGGGCAGGTTATCACACAGCCTGCCTCACTTTATCACCCTGACTCTGTGTTGTTGCTCTCCCGCTCTGCGCTGATCTCATTCCAGTCTCTGTCCTCCCCCGGATCAATGTCTCGTGCTTACCACAGGCAGACCCAGAGGCTGACAGTGAGGACCACTGTGTGATCAAGTCATGCGATTGGATTGTTTCCCTGTTCCAATTTGTCCAGTGGATGCTGATCGAATCGATAGGGTTGCTTTTTAAGTTAGCCTGTGTATCTGTACATGTGTACGTATGGGTAAGTAAGTAAAACATTTGAAAATAGGAAATGTGCTTTTCAGTTTTCTCACCACTAGAGGCTACTGTTGATCTCTGTATGAAAGGCAGAAGTGGCAACATAAGCAAGTGTGCTGTGCATATAACTGGTATATGGGATTATTAGTTTATTCAGTTAAACTGCAAAGAAAAGTTAAAGATATAACTGTTATGTATTTTCCTTTCTTGTATTTTAACTTTAAGAACTATTAAACTAATAATAATAATCAAGGAAAAATCAAAGCAGGCTAACATACATATACTATACTTGTTTCTCTTTTAACCCTCTCACAACACTTCAGATTAGTCCTCCAGTTGTTGTGGGCTAAATCCACTTGCATTGATAATTTCGCCTCAAATTGAGGCAGCTACTTGCACTATGTGACTTTAAAGGACCATAAGCAGCTGGAATTGTTCCAAGCATGTTTTATGTGTATGGATTCACTGTACAGACTCACAGAGATTCATACCCTGTGGGCAGTTTGAAGTCTCGGGGCCACCTCAATGCTGCTTTGTCTTAGTTCATTTGAAGAATTTGAAGCACCTGGACATGAGACCACAGGGACAACACGATAACCTGCAAACATAGTCCCTCACTTGTTTTGAGGCAACATTGCTAATAACCATGAGTCACTATGCTGCCCCTACCAGAAATAAACGATGTGACAGGGCATCTCATGCAATGGTTGATTACCCCCAAAAGTGGTTAGACCACACACTCTGACTGCAGCCAAACAATAACAGAATTTGGCTGTTGACTGGTGTTAATTTCCCACACCACTTCATAGCCTGAAGCATCCTTTTAACAAACCACTGTAAAGACGCCATCTGTTTGAATGAAGTGACCTCTCAGCCATACAATGAATCCAAGCTGGCACCAGCATCACACACAGTGAGATTCTGCAAACCCTTCACCTGACAACCACATTAATATTTCACAATTGTTCCACGGAATACCAATTAGTCCAGTGAACGTCACACGGCTTTGGATTATTTCATTAGCAGTACTGCGGTGTCAGAGCTGTACAGAGCTCTCACTGAACTGTTGCGCTGGGTGTCAGGCTGACTGATGTAGCCTGTGATAGGCCTGCTTGCGGCTGCTGCGTTACATCAAAAGCATGTCCAATGCACTTCAGTCCGGTGAGAATATACACACAGATCCTTAGTGTGCACTGTACTCACCCCCTGAGCTTAATACTTAATACTTTTTTTCTTCTCTCCCACAGGCATTCCTATCCATCCCTCTGTCCATCCCCTCCCTCCCTCTCTCCTCTTGGGGCTGTATAGACCCTTGAGAGCCCTCCCCCTCCCACTCTTCCCCACCACTGCTACCCCCTTTCTTACTCCCCTGCCTTCTGAGATTTTGCTGCTGCCCTTTATGTTGCTGAGAGGCGCCAGGGAGATGCTCAGATGATCCATTGGGCCATCTCGCACAACATCGTCGGTAGCCCAAGACAGTGAAGACTAACAACAGAGAGTCTGACAGAGCCCTTGGAGGGGCTGCGAGTACCCTGTGAGGCCCACCCGCACACCAAGCCTGGCTGAAAGCTCGGCTTGCCCCCTCATTCCTCCAGACTCTGAGATGCCCTCTCCTCCCAATGAAGGAGGTGAGTCCAAGAAGAGAGGTCCAACTCTCTCAGGACTGACAGAGTTATTCTGTTAGATGGTTACATGTTTTCTGCATACACACACACCTGACCACCTGCTCATTTACCTGCCTGCCATCATCATCATACTATTCCCCCATGCATAGAAACTACACACACACACACACAACATTATGACACATGCAGCTATAGCATATACGCGCAATTTATTTACACCCCAGCCCCATAAACAAAACCTACTAAATCCCCTGCAGACAGTGTCAAATATGTTACAATTCTCCAGCAACTCGTGCTCCCCTCCCAGTCCGGAGCACAAGCTGTGACTGAATCTAGTGTTGTTGTATGCCGTCTCTTCCTCCAGAGGATCAAGGAGCGTCCCCCGTGAACAGGCCATCTGTGGGCTCCTACCAGAGCAGTGGGAAGAGGAAGGTGCGCACCAAAAAGAAGAAAGGCACCATCTCCGCCAACATCACTGGCACCAAATATGAGATTGGTACGGTAAACTATTTCTAATGATTTTAATAAATGACAGTTCAACAACAATACATATACTGTATCTGTTGAATTAAGATAAAAATGTATCTGAAACAAGTTTGAAAAAAGAGGCGAAACAGAAACAGGACCATGCATCACTGAAATGTCAGTCTACAAAGATAAGACATCTTTTGATCAAAGAGTTTGTCTTAATGGAGCTAGTGCAGGATGAAAAGAGGCTTTCTTTGAGATGGGTGATGAAACCCTTTCATTGATGTATATTATCCTATTGATGTTTCTGTCAGAAAACAAGGTAGTGCTTGAAATGGTTTAGCAGTAGTATTCCTATTGTAGTTCCAGTTGTAGTATACCTTTACCTATTCGTTTTTGCAGTTAATTACTCACAGTTATTAGATGTTGTTAGATGTGCTATTAACTTTCATACAAAGTAAAGGATAATTGTCTGGTACTTTTATGTCTGATCTTGCTAAATTGTGTACGCTAAGCCTGTACTCCAAAGCCTTACATTTCAACCTTCTGAGTTTATATTTAAAGTTGGGTTGTCTTTCACGTAAGATAAGTGTAGTGTGTGACGCAGTGAATTGTAAATTAATTTTGGAAACAGCTCTCAGTATGACTCAGTCAGTCCATCAAAACACAGCAAATCTAATCACAATGTTATCTCAGCAATAAACAAAAATACACTGTAGATTTCACTCGCAACAATAACATCTAATTTTGCTGTGGTGGATTGTTTGAAGGAGACCGTTGTTATTTAATGTTTTAAATTAAACCTAATAGAGTTGCAGACCTGCAACAGTTCACACAGAGACAGCTCGGCCTTACATACAAACATAAATCTTTATTGAGGTAATTTCACTTGGCAGTGATGTTTTTTGAGAAGGGCAAACAGAAGCAGTAAGCACTCCTCACATGGACAGTATATGCCAGTGTGGCAGCTCCAGCTCTCAGGGGTGAACTACAACCTATGAAACTAAGGAGTCAGCAGCAGCAAGTACAAGTTGAGGGCTGCCTGGATCCTGTAGGTAGATGGGAGTCTAGCTGTGAGTTACTTCGCTTGCTGTGACGAGACTCTCACAGTGGCCATTCTGAGAGCAGTGTGGAGCTATTAAGAAGGAAAATTAACACTAAGGGCCAGATGGATGGCTCATTTTTGCTGTTACCTTTTACGCAGCTGTATTTTGTTTTGTTTCGGAATTTATAGTATTGCAGGTATGGGTTAAAGGTCAGAGAAAATGCTGTTGGTTTGCTTTACACCCTCTGAGAAGGCAATGAACACTCTGGATCTAAGGATGACTGTTACATGAGACGTGTTAGAAAGGATTGATTACAGCTTGCACTAAGACCCTACTGGTAAATGTAAGCATAGACCCCCTGTTCCAGTTAGCAAAACACTGTTAGCCTCTACTGGCGTTAACAGATGGATGAAGTTGCATCGGAAACACCTTTTTCCCATTCAAGTGCCACCATGCAACATTAGGCAAGCCTTCTCCAGGTTTGTGAAGGCTTTCAAGAAATTAATGAATACCCTGTTTCGTTAGGGCATATGAATATTTCATTACTCGCTGAATAATGAATAGTTGTCGGATGAATGTCCAAATGTGCTCGCCACCCATCTCTCATACTATGGGGTTTCCAGTGGGATTTGAATGCATTACAGACAATTAATTCATCTTTTTGAAGAGAAGCATTACGATTGGCTGCTCTGCAACCATTCCATTAATGGTAAATATTACTGGGAGCTTTTTTGATCTATTATCTCCTGGACTGATTCCTCTCTTAATGTCTGCAAAAACAGAAATGAAGCCCAGCAAAGAGTGAAATATTGATCCGTTCACTAGAAATATTTGATGCGTGGGTCAAAGTCACATCCTGCTCTATGAAAGCCTATGAGTGCTATTTTGGGGTCAAAAATAAAGGTCTAAGGAACCAGTGGAGGGGGGTAATATTCAGAGAAAATGAATATAGACTTTCTGAAAATAGAGTTATACAATTGTGACAAGTTAGTGAGAAGGTGCAACAGTATGTGACATGACTATATTCTTGAATCTGTTCATTGCATTGTAAATGCTGATCCACAAAATAAATCCCGTCATCCAAACTACAGTATGTTGTTTTCTTGTGAATTGGTCCAAATCACGACAATGTCTCTTCAAAGTTTGGATGCTTATAATGTGCTAATTCTGGGCTGAACACTCTGTTTCCTTATTGCTAAATCAATCAACAAAGTATAATTTGATTAGGACATCAACTTCAGACATAATACAAAGCAAGCGGTGGCGTCTGTGGTGAGATATGGTTTATCTAACCATGCAAATTCAAGCGATGTTGGTTCTTGACAAAAAACAAACATTTCCTGATTTCTTTTTAATGTAAATTTACAAATTGAACCCCCAATATTCCTCACTTTAGTCCTAAGAATATTATGCCTCTTTGTCTTTGAGGACTTTCTGGTCATGGGTAAAACATGTTTTGAAATTACTGCAAAGTTAATTTTAATATTGTAAAACAATCTAATGTGAATGTTTTTCCCCAGTTCGTATAGTAATCAACGAGGTGGACTACATCAAGGCCCGGGAAGATGATGAGACTGCCAACCTCATCTGGAATGACTCGGCTGTGCAGCATGAGAGAATCGCTGAGCTCAGGAACTATCAGGTACACGGCATGTCAAGTCAGCACACATTGTCCGGGAGCATCGTAGTCTTGAGCTAAGATATAACGAGTGAGAATAAAGGTGTCAGTTCCAATTGCTGCACTGAACAGGAAGAACAACTGGATCTTAACCTTTACAGTACAGGAGCAGCCGAAGACCATGATACTGATCAGCTGGATGAATGTAAAATATATTATATGTTTTCTTAACCAGATTTTCAAAACAAAATCAGATGCCTCTAATTTGTATAGCACTGGTAAGGTGAAGAAGGATTTAACCTTACATGAAAAGATGTAGAGGAAATGAAACAGTAGAGGAAATGAAACAGTAGACCAAAGAGAAAGGTCATAATATAACGAAACAAACATGACAGCTACCGCAACCCTTCCGTGCTTAGGGAATATTATTTAAACCTCTTTTGCTTTAAAGAAAACCAAATCCCTTCTTTAAAAAACACTCATTTGGTTAGAGAGGGACAAACATGACACCACTTTCTGCAGATTCTTCACACAATCACAGCAGTTATTGACATTCTTATAGAAAGCACAATCCACTTATCAGAGTGATGCCTTTCTCCCAAGCCTTTAAGAAATGTACACTCAAATGTTATGAAATCTGAACTGTAACAAAATAATTAATTAAGTTGTTGTCAAATTTCAGATTGCAATTAGAGACATATCATAACATCTGTATCACAGGATCTTTACTTCTATAATGTATGTTTGCACACCAATCTGCCTTAAATGACGTTTTTTTGTAGAAATAAAAGAATAGGTAAAGGAAAATATAATGAAAAAGAAGATTAGACCAGATGAAAGGGGACAACGTATAGAGACATTTGGGACAGATGGAGCTGCAAGAAGATTAGGTTTAAAGTAGTGATAGTAGAATGAAATAAAATAGAATGGAAGGAAATGAAATAGGTGAAGCTGGACGTAAGACTCTGGATGTGTCCATGTGCTTTCCCTTAGACCCTGGGAGGTAAGAGGCCGACAGTAGATAGAGAAGAGAGGTGGACAGAGGGAGAGGGAACAACAGAGCGTACACAGAGACAGATAGGAAGATTGACAGGTTGACTGACAAGTTGTGAGCAGCAGGGGGTGGGAGGCAGGTTTCACATGTCACTAGTGATGATGACAAGACGGGCCTAAACAACAAGGCTAGCTCTGAGTTCTGTGTACTCGTCTGAAAGTGATCTTACCTCTGTTTGACCCCTCTGTCCTGCTGACTGAACTTGCCGCCGCTGCTCCCCCTTAGCTCCGAGCGTTAGCCATCCATCTTCCCGATCGCTTATTTGATTAGACCGGGCACTAATGATCGATTAAATCACAGACAGGAAGGAGTATGGCTTGTTAGGACAGGGGCAGCCAGAGTTCAGCAAAGTAGATTGAATATTACAAATACTGTAACAGCTTAACGTGTAGCAATGCGGCTAATGTTTTACCATAGAGCTGGTGATTTGCTGTCAATTGTTTTCACTTGGTCTCTCGCGCTGCTGTGCTGTTTCATGTGATCATTTCTCAGAAGAAAAGTAGAAGTCCCTCAACAATTGGTTTTGATTTCCCCTCACAAGCCACGTCGTCTCGCGGCATTGGCATAATTGTGCAATCTCTTCCGAATCCCTAATTACGTCTGTCTCGTTTGGATAATAATCACAGGATCCTTTTACACTCTGCGTTCTTGTTTTTTTCTCCCTCTGCTTCTCTCTCTCTCTCCCTCTTTTGATTCTTTCCTTTTTTCCGCCCATTTAGTGATGTACTGTGAGAGTTTGCTGTCAAGTTTCAGTTCATACGAGCCTAATTAACGCCCCTGTTCAGGCTCATTTGGTCAAAGAATACAGAAAACCCAGAGTTTTTCCTTTACCCCCCTTTCAGCGCATTCAAAGCAATTCATTCAACTGTCACTGCAGGAGCTTGCGATGCAGAACCAATTACCTCGGCCCCTCGGAGTTGAGATTGATCGTGTTTTTTTCTTCTCGCCTCTTCCCTCCCCAACCTTTAAAGTATAAAAAAAACACGGTAAACTAAATAAGGGTTGAGAAAGGTCTCAGCGTCACCTTTTTGTTTTGAGTCCGTAATTGGGCATAAATGTCAGAACATTGTAAGCTCACTTCAGGTTGCTGCCTTTAATGTGCTCATTTTTATGAAGGGGTGGGGGTGGAATTGAGTGGCGTAATGGCCCTAACAACATTATTATGTCTGCCTGTCCCTCTGCAGAGAATTAACCATTTCCCTGGCATGGGCGAAATCTGCCGGAAAGACTGCCTAGCAAGAAACATGTCCAAGTAAGTTTTCAAATGAGAGTCCTTTGGTTCAGATGTGCAAAAACAAAAGAATGTCAAAGCTCGACTTGTAGCCAGCTGGCACTCTAATAAGTCACAACTGTGTACTTGTAGCGTCATTACATTACATCATTACAAGCCGAACGAGTAAAAGTAACTACTGTAAAAGCATAAAATGAATCTTTACTGTGAATAAAAAATGCACGTTATCGTTCAAAATAAGTGCAAGACTGCAGATGGTTTAAAATGATGCTTTACTCCCACACACACCCCTTTCTTTTCTTCTTCAGAATGATCAAGTCCCAGTCTCAAGAGTACAGCTTCATACCCAAAACCTGGATCTTCCCCGCAGAGTACACTCAGTTCCAGAATTATGTCAAGGAGCTACGCAGGAAACGCAAGCAGAAGACCTTCATCGTCAAACCCGCCAACGGAGCCATGGGTCACGGGTAGGTCACGAAAGCCGAGGCATGAAAGAGAACGAGAGAGACTGATGCAGGAACTAAACAACATACTGAGGGGGGGAAATTAGCACTAGAGAAAATAGAGGACAAGCACAACACAACAAGTCAATAAGAGGTGTGTGACCCTGATGTGGGTGTCAATGGAAATATCATTATGGCTGGGATCAGGTTGAGTAGATGAGATGAGAGGGTGTGGTGAATCACAACAGTTGTTGGCCACACACACACACACACACACACACACACACACACACACACACACACACACACACACACACACACACACACACACACACACACACACACACACACACACACACACACACACACACACGTGATTATTGGATTCCTTTATGAGGCATCATCAGCAGGGACCACTCAGACTAGAAAATGGACCAATGGCCATGGCTGCTGCAGTGGACTCTGTCTCACAATAGCATCTCTTTATCAAAAGATGAGCAGGCTGTGGTACATGAATGCATATTTCATGCTTGAAGCCCCATGAGGTGAGAGGTTATTTCAGGTTGTGATGTCACATCTCTATGGCATGTTTTCACTATTCTGACTGTTGTCATTGTGAAGTATTTTACAAAATCAGTAAAAAGGCATGGTGACATGGTGATGCCTTGATACTGACTATTTACCAATTTATTAGGTACACCTATGCACTTTAAAGTTATCAAGTGTTCAACTCAAGTGTTCAATCGCTCAACCCAACTGATGTGAAGCTTTTGTCAAAATGTGTGTCAATATGGGTGGAAACAAAAACATTACAAAACAAAGTTTAGCAAGAGTTGAATTGGCCGCCCTTTGACAAAGTGTCAACAAAAGTGATCATCCTTAGCCTGGGTGGGCATGGGGGGGTTGTTATTTTAAGTGCCTTTGCTTAGAGAAAAGCCTGTTGAGCTGGTTTGGTCATTTATTACAAAAAAACAAGAAGAAAGAAGAAATCTCTCAGGTCATTTGGGCCTCTGCTCAGACTTCTGATCTGTATAATAGACTAAAACAATTGCTGAAGAACAGAAGTGGTCACTTAAACAAGTATCCTACATCGTTTCTAAAATGAACACATTAACTCTTTCTAATGTTCTATGTATGAGCCATAGCCAACTCATTTGAAAGCCAAAACAGAATTCCACTGAGCTGTGATTTGACCTGTGTGGAGGTCAAGCCTGCACAGACATGACTAAAATAAAGTGGAAAATGCCAAGTGTTTTCTGGTTCAAAGTTTGAAGTGTGGTTGGTTTAGCAAATAATTCAGTATCACAAAATGAAGTATAAGACAGGCCAAACTCAATATTAGCATTTGCTACAGTATAACTTAAATAAAGTGGAAAATGCCAAGTGTTTTCTGGTTCAAAGTTTGAAGTGTGGTTGGCTTTGAAAATAATTCAGTATCATACAATTAAGTACAAGACAGGCCAAACTCAATATTAGGATTTGCTACTGTATAACTTCCTCTGAAAAGGATTTGTTTTGTATTTGTATGTCGCACATAGTTCTCTTAAAAACACTTCAGACTATTTTGAAACTGCCCAGATTTCAAAACATTATGAAGCAAGTATTTGCTTTCATTTCTTATTCTTTAAAAAATGTGATCCCTGTAGTGCATGTGTAAAGAAATAACCTTGGATTGCATATATCACTGGCACCAATAGGTGGGGATATTGAAGTACAAATAGCTTACTGTGCTTCACCTCTCCCTCGAATTCTCTTTGAATTTGTCCTTTCTGGTATAATGTGGGCATTACTTTTAACTCCATGCTGCACTAAGCCCTTATTTATTAAAGAATAAAAGGCAACAAAGGCTGAATCATAGCAATATATTAAGAATATGAAAGATGATGAGTTTAGTTCGACCACTCAACGGCGGGCGGCTCACAAGATTAGATTTTTCTCAATTTTTTTCGCATGGTGTGACGAGGCAGGAAATTAAGTTATATCTCCCCCCTGCAATTTATTTTTCCGTCGGCCAACTAAATGAAGTTATTGTTTGTGTCTGAAGCTCAGCTTGTTATAAGGGAAACAAAATAAAAGCGCGTGCAGGGCTTAAAAAGGCGAGATCCCCTCCGGTGCCAAATTAAATAGGCAGGGGAGAGTGGGCTGTGATTATCTGACACCACAGCTCATCAATCATGTCGTGTTCTCCTCAGCTACTCCTCCTTGACTAACTAACACCGTTAACCCTGTCCTCATCACTCAACTCGCTGCCTCACTGTTAGGAGGGCCCTCACATTGTTGGTCAATGTACCATCAACTGGACCCTGTTATTTTCTGTTCCAAGATATAAGCAGGCCAATGAAATGATCCGTTATAATACGAGAGCATTAAAGTGGAGTGCTGAATTGTGATGAGGAATGATGGATAAACCTGAGAGTAACAACAACATCACACTACAGCAACTGGGACAATTGTATCAAACCTCTGAAGGGAACTGCTGAACAAAAACAATAACCTGAAAGGCAATACCTGATCCCAATCTGGATTCACACTTAGAAGCTCATCAACAATGCTCCAGTGTTTTTGCGTCCACTGAGCGGGTGAATTCTAATGTTAAATAACAACCTCATAGACTGCACTGTTCCCAGGATACTGTATGTGCTGGCTGTCATTAAAGAGCATTACAATGTTTGCCCTCCGGGGGCTTGGTGCCACAATATCTTACTACCTCAAAGTGTACTTTTTGAACAATCAACTCTTTACATCTTGGCTAAATATTGTGTGTGTGTGTGTGTGTGTGTGTGTGTGTGTGTGTGTGTGGTGAGCCTGCTTGCATCGGTATAATGTAGCCTTCCAGGCAGAGCATGTAACTAATTTAGGCCAAGTCTGCCTTAACTATGAATGATGGTGATACAGGTCAGATGCAATGCCTCTGCATAGTGGGAGATTGTTTAGAAACGACCCCTCACCCTCGCTGCACATATGCATACTCCCACACACATGTGAACAGACATACGCTCTTACGTTCACAAAGTTTTTAAAATATTGCCCCTCACCCTTGCGTGCACAGCCACATCGCTGCACACAAACTAACACAACTCATTCTTGAGTCCAGCTAGCAATGGCCTGCGTACTATAATGCCTGAGTGCCAGTGACATGAGACCAAAGCAAAAGAATTAGAGTGGAGGTTGAACCGGAGTGCAATGTCTGCTCCTATTAACCTGCACACAGCTGAAAGACCCGGCCAAAGCATTTGATGCACTGTGCCATTCGGAGAAGGCAGAGTTTGGCTTCTGGAAATCACAATGTTCTCCAGATTCTCACTGGGTATTTCTCAGACAAACCAGCATTTGTGTAGTACCTGTCTGTTTTTTGTGAATTTATTTTTCAGCTGTTTTATTTAGCCAGGCAATGAACAGAATAACAAAAGTTTGGAATGCTCAAAGTACCTCAGAGCCAAACAGCTTGTCCTGCTCAAACTAGACCTGAGGCGTGCTGAGCGAACTCATTAACATATGTTTTCAGCAAAGTTTCTGTAGCAGGGCAAGGTCACGTCAATACCATCAGGGCACAATGGCTCTGACCCTGTCACTCATAAGGGCTAAACCTCTTCATTGTTATTGCAAGAGTCATTCTATGCACAGTAAGGACGTTCTCCTTCTGATTGCATCTATTGCTCATACTGATACTTACTGTCCATTGCTCCAAAAGGTCATCTTGGATTGTGATGACTGAAAGCTTCGCCATTATTGGCAGATAAGGCACCAGAGTTAAATAGCCCCAACTTTTCCAGATGATTAAACATGAAAGATTGTGCGGGACCCCATCAAATCTGTATACTGTTTGGCATAGTTTTTGCTTCAACATGTATATAAGACATTGCCAATGTCATCAATCATGTTCATGGTCCTTTCTATGCTGCCATCTATCATTTTTTCAATTATCTTTTTTGTCTGTCTTTGCCATATTTTATTATGCTGCTGACGACACCCCAATTTCCCCCCTGAGGATTAATAAAGTTTCCGTCCATCCAGGATCTCACTTATCCGTAACTGTGAGAAGCTGCCAGCCCACGAGCACTTCATCGTTCAGGAGTACCTGGACAAGCCCTTCCTGATGGAGGGCTACAAGTTTGACCTGCGCATCTACATCCTCGTCACTTCCTGCGACCCACTCCGTATTTTCCTCTACAACGACGGCCTGGTTCGCATGGGCACAGAGAAGTACCATGCACCCAGTGAGGCCAACCTGGTGAGTCACAGACATAGTACTACTAAAAAAGAATAATTGATTGTGTAGAATTGTTCAAAAATGAAAATAGAAAGTGCCTCACAGAAGCAGCACATATGATCATAAACACATATCTTAACAGACTAATAACAGGACAAACATCTTTATCTGATTGCTTTTTGTGCAGTCCCATTTGATGAGTTGTAGGAATAAGTACAACTGTTCATGTATACAGTACTTAGTGTGTGGCCATTCATAAAGAGACAGATAGTAGAAGTAGAGCTGTAAAGAGTAATCCAAGGCCTCAAAGATTCATTCATGCTGTTGACATTTAAATTCTTAATCAAGAACGTCCACAAAGAAAGGCAGGCACCTCTATGCACAGAGCCATCTAGCACCAGCATACATAACATTTATACAACCACATTAAAAAAAGATGTTTCCATTTTTATAGAGTGATGAAATCATAAAAAATGACGGCTCACATTTGAAGCTTGATTTGAATACATCGAAAAAAGCTTTGAATATAAAACAAAATGACATCCGAAGCGGCCTTAAGTAGAAGTACATTTGCAGAAAAATGTATTTGCCATGCTCGTCGGAGCCATGGCCTTTTGCAACTCAACAAAATCAAATTCGACACACAAACACACTGGGGGACAGAGGTTAGGAAACACAGTGTAATCTCCGTATGATCACACAAACATGCATGTACTCATATACACAGTCAACAGAGCCAACAACTGTTGTGTTCACACACCCAGGCACACACACACACACGCACGCACACACGCACACACGCACGCACGCACGCACACGCACACACACGCACGCACACACACAGATTGGGCAAGCAGGCATACTGTATGCACACAGCTGAGCGCAAATGTCCATATGCCAGATGTCTCCAGTAATATCAACCCGTTCATATTTGCCTTGAGGTTCTGCACCTGCTGAAGCACAGTTTGTTGCTGATAATGAGGTGTAAAAGCACACACACACAGCTCCCTATCAAGCGTGATGCTTATCTACAATATGAACACACGCTCACATCGACATATGGACCCCCTCCCGCGACACAAATGCGTATTGTCTTACCCAGTCTGTGGCACATGATGGAGTGAGGCGTGCCATGGAGATGCATGTTCAGTCCCACAGAGAGTGGCTCCGAGACAGCCATCATGGGCTGGAGTGGCCTCCGGTCACGGCGTTATTACCTTGTAGGCTAAGGACAAGGATGTATTGTCTTCAACTGTGAAGGATAGTGTGTAAAGAGAGGGATGCGCATTGGCACATTTTAGCCAGGCTCTGTTTGAACTGTGGGGCTCTGACTTATCTTATCACTGAGTGCTTGAGATTTCAGGGCTCTATGATTATAAGCTTGTTCTGCTGTTGCGCTCTTTATCTGTCAATCCCATAAGAGTATAAGAACCAGCGTTAGAACAGAGCATTGATCATTCCCATAACACAGTCAGCTGTTCTTCACTTCTCTTACTACATTTCTTACCCTCTTTAGTAATTTCCTAGGGACACATTTGTGATGTTTTTTCTTTTTCCATTATTTTTGTCGACACATATTACTAAGGAGAAAATGCTTACTTTACAATGTGTGTATGTGCACTCAGGGAATAATGCATGAATACCCTTGAGGACATAGTTTCCTGTGATGATTATCATCACTGAGTAAGGTATACTTTTACTAAAGAGCACCATCAAAGGTACAACAGCCATCTGAGTATAACATATACCCCATGTATTAAAATAAAATGTCATTGCATATACAATTGTACTTGCTTCAATGGAGATATTTGCAGCTATTAGTATTATAATGTGGTTACATTGGGTAAACAGGAAGAGGAAGCAAGTGAACGAGAGCTTCATTTCTTCTTCAGCCCAGTAAATAAAGGAATTCAGTGGAAAGAAGACAAGAATGATTTGTATGCAACAACAAACAAAACATGCCATCTGGTGCAAATAGATGCATGTTCTCTCTGCATGCTGTTGCTATGACATTCAGTTATTACTGTTATCACAGCTTATAGCAAGACGTTTTACTTGTTTTACAAGTACACCAAGACCAGTGACTCTACATCTGGTCAAATTGTCTTTTGATTCAAATAAAAGGACACGTACTTTGTTATTTAAATATTGGTAGTAATGTACCAGTGTCAGCAGCCCCTTAAAGCCAGATCTGTGTTCCTACTGTATGAAAGAGACATCTCATGTAGTCATCAAATACATCTAGAAATCCTTACTGTCAGGTTTTAAACATGCATCCGTTGATAATGCATCAAGGCCCTCCTAACTCCAGTTTCTCTCCACAGAGCCAGCTCTACATGCATCTGACTAACTACTCAGTCAACAAACACAACGAGAACTTTGAGCGAGACGAGACAGTGGACAAAGGCAGTAAGAGGTCCATCAGCTGGTTCAACGAGTTTCTCCGCGCCAACGACTACGACGTGGCCAAGTTCTGGGGAGATGTCTCTGTACGTGGGTAGTCCTCCCAAGCACACACAAATACAGTTACATGCAGACATATCATGCCGGATGTGTAATCCTACAAAGGATGTGCGTCATGATAACAAAAACACAAGAGACGCTAACACCACATGGAGGCATCTATAAGTGTAATCTGTAAGCATGCCTTCACATATATACACATCCTCTTGCTACTAACCGACACATGTTAGAAACAGAACACAAGAGGACCGGCAAAAGGTTTGTTATGATTTGTTATGACAGTAACTCAGTGAGCTTCAGAGCTTTGTTTGACTCCAGGAAGAACTCAGCAAAAACATAATTCCTGGAGGCTGAGCCCTCTTCCAAACACCTTTACCACAACAGTTTTCTATCATCAAAGTTTCACCTTCTGGACCTGATACATTCACTTTCTTTCCATCCATCCCAATACAGTATATATTCCTTCCCTATTGTTACTATTCCTTTTTGCCTCCGTCCACAGCTATTTGGGTTGTATGGGCCTTCAGTGTTTGTTCTCTGTTTTGTTGTTTCTTGCCACAAGCTATCAACCTAAAAAGTCTAATCCCATTGGCTATTTTACTCTCTTCTTTACATCAGCTTTTACCTTTCTGTAGGTGGAACAGTGTGGCTTCTGTTCTTTTTTATGTAATGTCATTTTTTTGTTTATTCTCCTTTCTTATCCATCTGATGTCATCTCCCTGTTTGCTCCATTTTGTCATGGCGTTAAAGTTCTTTTTTCACTCTTTTGTGAAAGTTTGTTTTTCTTTTATCTATCTTGTCTCACAGTGACACATCAGAGTGTCACCCTCTGACTCAGACCTTCATCCTCTTCTCTTCCTCTCTCACCAGTTTTTTGTCTCTGCTCTTTCCTCAGAAGTTGCACCACTTTGGTGTTAGTGCTGTCCGTTCACAGTCACACACTGTGTTTTGTTTCAACTTTGTATTTATGCTCTCCGTTCACTCTCCTCTCTCCTTCTCTTTTCATCTCTCCTCTTACATTTTGTTCCCGTACAGACGTAGCAGGCTGCCCTGACTCTTCGCCAACGGTCTCGGTCAGAGAGTCAGAGAGTTTGTTTGCCAAAAGATTTTTCTGTGGGGGTTAAGAATATCGTGCATTTGTTTTTTTCCCCCCAAGTCTCACTGACATCTCTTTCATACTGAGGTACTATTGATGTGCTGTGTAGGGCAGAGTGTCACAGGTTTGACCAGCAATGCTTTTTTATGTGTGTGTCATTTTGAGAGCAGTGTCTGTCTACCAATGTGCTAGTTATAGAGGCCACAGCTATATAACCGTAACGATCTCTGCACCCAGCAGATACTGGACTGAGAAAAGTGCAGGCTAGCAGTTCTGCATGGGGCTTGACTGACAAGGGAAGGCACAGCGCATATCAGTGTGTGTGTGTGTGTGTGTGTGTGTGTGTGTGTGTGTGTGTGTGTGTGTGTGTGTGTGTGTGTGTGTGTGTGTGTGTGTGTGTGTATACACACACACACACACACACACACACACACACACACACACACACACACACACACACACACACACACACACACACACACACACACACACTGATATGCGCTGTGNTGTTTCCACCCCCATGTTTCACAGTAGGTATGGTGTTCTTTGGATGCAACTCAGCATTCTTTCTCCTCCAAACACGTCTAGTTGAGTTTTTACCAAAAAGTTCTATTTTGGTTTCATCTGACCATATGACAAACATTCTCCCAATCCTCTTCTGGATCATCTAAATGCTCTCTAGCAAACTTCAGACGGGCCTGGACATGTACTGGCTTAAGCAGGGGGACACGTCTGGCACTGCAGGATTTGAGTCCCTGGCGGCGTAGTGTGTTACTGATGGTAGCCTTTGTTACTTTGGTCCCAGCTCTCTGCAGGTCATTGACTAGGTCCCTCCGTGTGGTTCTGGGATTTTTGCTCACCGTTCTTGTGATCATTTTGACCCCACAGGGTGAGATCTTGCGTGGAGCCCCAGATCGAGGGAGATTATCAGTGGTCTTGTATGTCTTCCATTTTCTAATAATTGCTCCCACAGTTGATTTCTTCACACCAAGCTGCTTACCTATTGCAGATTCAGTCTTCCCAGCCTGGTGCATGTCTACAATTTTGTTTCTGGTGTCCTTTGACAGCTCTTTGGTCTTGGCCATAGTGGAGTTTGGAGTGTGACTGTTTGAGGTTGTGGACAGGTGTCTTTTATACTGATAACTTCAAACAGGTGCCATTAATACAGTTAACAAGTGGAGGACAGAAGAAGGTTCTTAAAGAAGAAGTTACAGGTCTGTGAGAGCCAGAAATCTTGTTTGTTTGTAGGTGACCAAATACTTATTTTACCGAGGAATTTACCAATTAATTCATTAAAAATCCTACAATGGGATTTCCTGGATTCTTTCCCCCCCATTCTGACTCTCATAGTTGAAGTGTACCTACAGTCGGATGAAAATTAGAGGCCTCTCTCGTCTTTTTAAGTGGGAGAACTTGCACAATTGGTGGCTGACTAAATACTTTTTTTCCCCACTGTAAAGCATTATCTAGCTAAAGGGGGAAAAGAACATCTCTAAATGATGATGTTACAATCTGCGTTGTGATATCCAAAGTCAACGCCTTTATTTATGTGACTTCTTAAGCACATTTAGATATGAAAATAACTAGCGTTGTACATTTCTTACTTTTATCTAACGATTAAACAGCAACTCGAAAGCTCATTAGAAGGCTCTCTGAGGCTCACCAGAGAACCAGATGCTGTAGTTATAATAATATGATATAAATAATGTGTCTGTGCCTCACCAGCTCCTCTCTCCTGCGCTCCAGTGTGTGCCGTTGTTTCTCCCAGTCTGAGGAAGCAGCTGAGAGTTTCTTCACAGAGCCGTGTCCATAGAGCCGGCGCTGAGCCTCTGCTTTCTGCTGGGCCAGATTACGTTTCTTATCACTGGCTCTGGAACAACATATATCAAGTTAAGATTCACAAGAGTGCAGATTTGAGTACGAAAAAAAGAGCACATTATCTGGGAATACAATTTTTTCCAATAATAGCTCTGACAACTGTGTTTTCCAAAAACAATTTGCATCTTCGATTATTTGTCTTGACAGTTTTAGCTGCTGTTGCTGAGAAATAAATGCACCAGACTTGAAATCCCATTGACTTAAACCGTTTCGATGCTCTTTCTCATTTCTGTTTCATAACCGCACACAGTAATTGTTATTTCGGGAAACACAAGACTTATTTTATCGCTACATAGCTCTCAGTTGAAAACAGATGTTATCTGCAGAACAAGGTTTTCATGAATGCTGTAAACAATGACAAAGTTGGAAAGCATTCAGGTCTCATCCCTAACTGAGGAACTGTGTGGTCAAAAAGAAAGAAAGAACATCCCTCACAAAACATTTAACAATACAGAGATAAAGATAGAGCCCAGACACAAACAAAGTGACAACCACAAGATGAACAGGACCAGACAGCTCATTCTGAACAAGTGGGCCATTGCGGTCTGGAGAAAGGGCAATTCATTTTAGTCAATCGCTGGCCCTTTAAATTGGATATTGAGTGCTGTTGGGGGGCTGAGGTTTGTCAATGTCCATGCCCGGCCGGGTCTGAATTGATCCCACGTTGATACAGTTGGGGTTGTGAGCCGACCCTACCTCTACACACCACCAACCCCTCCCTTTGGGGAGCAAAGCCATTACTATATAAGGAAAAGTGAGCGAGGTAGAACAAAACCCTCATTCACTCCAGCATGAACATAAGCAGTTTGTCCAGTGGAAAAAGCTCCCCGCCAACTTTCAAGGCCTCCTACGATTTATTTGTCAGGAAATAATCAAATCTAGGCTTTTAATCTGTGGGAACACAGCAAACATCAGCCATGAAACAAATCATTTTGATAAGAGATTTGTTTGTGTCGACTGAGGCTGAGCAGGAGGACGGAGTGGGTTTGTGTGTTGGATGGCTGCACCACGCTCCACACTTGGCCAAACTAGATCTCTGCTGCGTGTAATTGATCCATTGATGTGTGCGTTTCTGTGTGCTCTACATTTGTGTGCTGCATTTGTGCATGTGTGTGACTGGAGTTGAGACTATATTTGGAGCAGTAAGCACAAAGAGAGAGAGACAAAAAGAGAGCAGAGAGGTCCAGAGGTCTGGTGTACGATGATCAATCAGTGGACAGGCTCGCTGTAGCCAGGGGACAGAAAAGCATGCCAGCAAACACACACACACGCGAACACAAACACAACGTACATAAATAAATACATGACACACCAAATATGACAATGTGCATAACCTAAACAGGCAAATAAATACAAAGTGAAAAAAGCAAAACAGTAAGCTTATGTTAACAAATAAAGTAAACTTTGAAATACAGATAACATAACTCACTGTTATCCTGTTCCTATCACGCACACACACACACACACACACACACACACACACACACACCCACACACACACACACGTCTGATTGAAGGGTGCACAGTAGAAGCTTAGTTTTGTATCTTGGCATTGTTTTTGTCCATAGCTCAATAATGTCACTGCTTTGCCATCAGTCTAAAAACAAAGCAGGAAGAAAGTTGAGTTGTTCTGCGCATTAAACGTAATTCAAAAGTTTTCAGCGTTGGTAAATAAAGAAAACTGGACGAATCAATCAAATAGTTTTAACCTTTACAGCCCAGTAGAATAACATTTGATGTGAGCTTTGCTTCTTTCTGCACATTAAACTTAACGGGCCACACAATTCATGTGTGTCTATCTGCAATCATGTGCATGCGTGTGTGTGACAGTGGTGGAGAATATTACCGAATGTTGAGGAGTTTCAGAGCATCGAGCAGTACCCCTTTCTTCACATCGTGATCAATCTTCTGATCGGTCCCAAAGCTCGGAGCTCGATTGATCTGCCAAAGAGGAGAGAACAGAAACATTCAGAGAATATCCAGATTTTCTTTTTTTTTTACTTCATCTAATTTTTGTTCTTTCTTCTCAATTCAGCAGACAGAAATACTATGCAATTACAGGAGTGGGTTTAGGGTATCTTTGGAAAAAAGAGCACTGTTCCCACAAGAAGGAGAGGAAAGAGTAGAGAGATGGAAAGGAAGTTTTTTTCTCTTTGAAGGACACTTTGAAACTCTTAGCCTTTGGCTGGGAATAAATCTTGTCTGACGTTGATGTGTGTTGTCGAGCCTGAAGAAGAGCTCTTGTGTGTATGAGTGCTCGCATATGAACAGATTGTGTAGGGTAAACTGTCACTAGATTTCTGACCCTGCTAGCCTTAGCAAGCAGTCCATGACTTTAACTTGAGTATGCCGGGCACTGCGACACCTATCCTAACAACTGCCATACATAATCTCTTTGTGAGCATTAGTGAATTACCAGCGCTCAACTCAATCCCATCATATACAAATCAAGAGCGCTCAGAAAGTCAACTGAGCGACAACAGAATAAGCCACCTTTAATTTTAGGTACAAAAGCCAGTATCGCCAAGGGAACAATTCAAGAGCAGCTTTACCTTTCTTAACAGAACAATTTCCAGCACCGGTGCAAGGTATTCAGATATCAGTTATTATACCTGACACAACGAATCAATTCTTTCCTTTTTGCTCTTTGTTATGTTCCCAAGGTAAAAAAGAGATTGTGCGAGACTACAAAAGGACCAGCAAATGGAGAGCGGCGCGGAAGGAGGGTGAACGGACTGGCAACCGTGAATGGTGTCTTCCTAAGAGCTGTCCAGATCACAATGCAACAGATGCACTGGAAGGCTGTGGTTAGTGAGCCTTGATTTTTGAGATAAGTCAGGTTTCCTCTTAAAGATTTTTTGATGTGGGAACACCAGTATTGTTGGCACCTTTTAGATTTGCAATATTTTCATAAATGTAGGTATTTAAAAATTAGATTTAGAATATATGTGTTATAATTATTTGATATGTATAGTTGATATACTGTATAGAGGTTATTATCAAGTGGAAATTAGGATTTGTTAACTGACAAAGACATGCTGTGTGTCACTCTGCAGTATAGAGTTCACTACTGCTGTATTTTGACCTAAAATGTCTGCATCCGTTGATGAAAATCAATCATTTTCAATCAAATAAAAATCACTGCTAATAGTGCTCCAGCTACAGCTGGATAGTCAGTAAGATTTGGGTCGGAGACATTCTTTTCTTCCTAGCTTTCTTTAGAAAAGGGCATTTGGATACAGATATACTCATCGAAGCAGCACGGCATCCAATCACAAATCTTGATTTCAATAACAGAGAAATACTGAGACAATCTGAGCCTTTAGAGCATATTATAGATGTTTTCTATCCACCAATCAGGAGCTTAGGTGAAGAATAGTGAAAGAGGCTAATGGGCTTGGTGTTAAAAATCAAGCTATTTGCAACCATGAAGATATTTGGGCTGAAAATAAGCAACAAAAGCTCCTTTACAGAGATGTGCAAAGCATCTCAAAGGTCGGGGGGGCTTGGCTCTCAGAATCTCCATCCCTCTTTCTCTTCCTCTCCTCTGAACTCGCCATTACTAATTCCAACCCAAAGGTGCTTATTGCTGTGAGGCAGATTTGGGAACCGTGCTCTAAGATAATATTTACATCACAACCAGGCTCCAAGGAACTGCTGCTCTCTACATCAAGGGCTAAATTATCCTTCAGTCAGAAACCTAAACTCCCACAATATGAATATTATTGTGCAAGGATGCTTTTATGTTGAATTGCATGTAGATAAGCATAGGTGAATAAAAGTAATCAAACATATTCAAACATATACCGCACTGTAGCTGTCTATATTAACCTTAAGATACTGTATAACTTTCTCTGAAGTGGTTGCTCCACTCTTCAACTAGTGAATAGATCCAAAAATGCCACAAGTAAGTTATGGAGTCTGCATCAGCATGACATGGGTCTGAATGGCCCTGCCTTTGTAAATGTGCGTGTTCACCCACATGTGCGTTTTTCTATACGGCAACCATTTATCAGAAGGAGGGTGGGTGGATGATGAATGTCTACCAGTGCAAAGAGGAAGAAAATACCCTATCCAACTCTTTCACTCAATAGAAAGAAGTCTACAATACATTCCTTTGTGTGCGGAAAAGTACAGAGCTCCACTTCAACCTACAGTACCTTACCTAAGGAAAAGGAAAAAACACCACAAAAGAAAAAGAGTGAGGGGGTCTGTTTTCATTTAGAGCACTCCTTCGATATGACAGCCACGATGAAAAGAGTATGGCTTTAGAGCGCTGTAGCCTATAGGTAAAAGCCAGACTGGCAGTGATCCTGGCGACGGTTGTCTCGTTACTTGTTTTCATTTCTTAGTTTGATTTGTGGTGTCAAGCTGTCACAGAGAAGACTGGCATCGCAGGACTCGCTGTCTCTCTTTGCTCTCCTTCAATCTTTCCTCTCTCTCCTACTCTCTGCCTGTCACCCTCTCCCTCTGGTTAGTTTCTTTTCCCACTGTTTCTTCCAGTCTCTCAACCTATTTTCTGTCTGGTCACTCACCCCCACCCCTCCTCTGCTAGCCAGCCCTCACTCTCTGGTCGTTACCTTTCTTATTCATTTCTTTCCCCATGTTGCTGTGTTCTCCTTTTCCTCTCTGGCAGAGGAAGCTGGACCAGTCTGGTCCTAATGAACCCCTGCAGGCTCCCCAAACCCCCCCTCTGATTTCCTTAAGTGACTCTGGCAGGGTCTTAAAGGAGCCCTCGGTTGCTTCAAGCCGCATTCAATAAAAATGTCAGATGAAAAGATTAGAAACTCCTTTTTAGCTATGTTTTGATTCGATTCAGCATCAGAATCACATCAATGTCTTCCAAAAATCACTTGATTCACCATTAGAATCAGCATGAATGAGAGGAACATATCAGTCAGTAACTTCTCCCAAGACAGGTTTATACTCATCTGATCACCCAGTTAAACATACACAGTTCAGAGGGTGAGCTGTAAATCATACACATACCCTATAAAGAACATGTCACTTTTTATTTTCTGCACCTGGAGGTGTGTGTCTGAGACCCATAAGAAGACCCCTTATAAAGCTAAATCAAGCTTCTGGTCCATTTATTGCAAAACTGTCTGTGAAATGCAACGCTGTCTACTGATCTTTATTGCAGGTTCTTAAGGAAAAAACATATGTGAAGGTGCAAACAGCTTATTCTGCATGCTTTTTTGAGTTGATTATAGCCATCGTAGTTCATATTTGTAAAACAAAAAGCATTTAATGTTGGCCCGTCCTTCCCGACTCAACAAACAAGAGTGTTGGCGAGAATAAAGCAGTTAATCAGAGAAATTAAAAGTGAATTCCTGATTGTTTTACAACCGTTATGTTCTAAAGCAAAAACAATAAAGGGTACCGTGCTTCTGTATTAGATGCCAGGAGGCAGGACAAAGTGGCAGGATTTAACAACCTGGGAATGAGAACGGGCTGTACACCCTGCTAGGGAACGCTCTTCACCCCCTGTGTTGGATGCAGGGTCAGCCTCGTATGTTTGTCCCTCGTAGTGGGGGTGTATTGCTCAAGGAGCGTTAATAACCGGCAAAACCAAACGCTAACAATACCACTTTTATTAACCTAGCCAAAGGCCATTCTTTACACCAAGAGATCATTTATTTTAGTTCATACTATGGTATGGGAATAACTCAGATCCCAATACATGTAACAATTCATTGTTAACACTTTAATTATGAATAAACCCAGTAAAAAGTTATTTGCAATGATCACACGTTTTACTCCAAATGTAGTGGGCATCCAACAGTTTGCGCCTGTGGCCTCTGCTGTGTCACACCGACCCTAATAACATAGCAACAGAAATGGATAAACAACAATCAGCTGCTTTCTTTCCACAACAAATTGCTTCCCCCGATCGACATCCATTCTGTGTCTGGAATACTCGTAAAACAAGTGCAGTGGCTGCTCGTGATTAATCGGTTCAGAAAAACGACCCCCTCTTATTATTCCTGGCAGAGTGTAAACAACCACTGCTTTGACAAGCCTCCCATTCTGCCCCGCACACTCGAGGGTATCGGCACAGTTCAACCGCTGTCAGAATGGAGTGTTTGTTGCCGCACAATGGTGGAATGAGAAAGCGAGGCAGAGAGGGAGAGCATGAGAAGCAGAGCGACAGAAAGACAGACAGCTGGCCGCCATGTTAAGTCGCTCTCTTGTTTCAGCCGTCTTATCAATCACTGTTTTGTTCTATTTTTTTTGGCCTTTTTAGAGATCCAGTCAGACACAGGGAAACTCTAGCTGAGCATGCTGAGCCGCTGGTAAAGGTCCTGGGAGTGAGCGGGCCAACGCTTAGCTCAGCCACCAGTCAGCCTGACCTGCTGACTGTCTGGCTGGCAGGGAGCGGGAAGGGTTGCTTTTGTTGTTGCTATTTTTTTTTTTTAAGACACACAGAGATACAATTTGACACAGCCACAAAAAGTAAAAGACGCTCCGAAGGTGGACAAGATGTGTAAAAGTGAACAGAGATATGCAGCTGGACTCAAACTTAGCACCCACGAACGTTAGAATATATCAACAAAACACACCTTCGGTCTGAGACAGACAGGCATAAATATGCAAGAGTATATATATCTCCCTTTAATGTCACTCACACAATGAACCACCACACACACTACAGTTCCATATGTCACTCATAAACAACCGACATATATCTTAAATCACACACACACACACACACACACACTCAAACACAGTGACACACACACAATCACTGGTGCTGCCAAACATGGCTGATGATAAATGACTAAATGTTGGGGGGTGTTTTCAACTGCCCCACATACGAGGCCTGTGCGCTCCTAATTTGATACTTATTCCATGAAATAGTCATGTTGGGGGAAAATGGATGTGGATGGAGACAGACAGTCCCATACATCATTCTAATTATTCTTTAATAAACCTGGTAT